TAGGGGATCTCAGACGTCAGAATATTAGATTTGTCTCACCAACAACAACGATTACTAGTCTGTTTAAATTCCTGCAGTGAAATCCTTAAACCACAGTCCTGATTGTGCTGATTATACGCTTAATTGTCACAAATTGTCTATCTGTCATTGTGGAAACAGAAAACTAGTAAAAAAACTTTAAGCGAGGGACTGGTTTGTTAACTTCAAAGGCGCAAGTCTCGCTGTAGACATTCTGTAATGGTGTCTTCATGTAGTTAATTCAGTAAGTTCATCTCATACCAAGTTGTATTATTTAATATCTAAACCTGTTCGACTGACCTGAACACAAGCCGATTCAGACGGAAATACTTCCGGAAGAAAACCCCTGAAGTTCGCGCACACAACAATAAGCCTTTAGATGCAAAGTCTGTCCTGATTGTTAAACAAACTAAGAAAATAACACAATCACACGACAGAGAGAATCGTAAAAAAGCCGAGTTTCCAAAATAGTCACGAAAACTCACTTCATCCATAATCTCTGGTTTTACACAAACTTCCCGCAGTTATTGAGTTCACATTGTTCAGATTATCAGCTGTTCTCTCCTGTTATTGTTATTTATTGAACATAAAATTAAATATTCCTACACACTTTAATTTCTCTGCACTTTACCTGAACACCTCCTCCACCTGGAATCCTTTCTTCCTCCCGAGCTGAGAGAGGAAAGCTCTCCGACTGGCTCCCATCTTTCTTTCCAACAGGAATAAAACAACCTGAGGGAACTGGTTTGGTTCTTTATGTCCTCCATAGACTGTCCCAGAGTCCCCAGCAGGATGTGAGGAGGACACCTTCCTCCTCTTTAAAGGCACCATGCTTCCCTCTGGGCTCCAATAAGACCTACAGAACAACTCCTACAAACATCTGCAGGAGAAACTTCATATTTTATCTGTTTTTTGGAGTTAATTCTGACATCATCTGCACTCCTAAACATCCACCTTCTTTACTGACTTCAATAAAACTGTTTATCATTAAATACTAATTACTATTCATTAAACTTTACGACGTTGTTAAGTTAATGTGTCTAATGTAGTTTAGTGGGAAATAAAAACCGCCTTCAGCAAACGGATGCAGCTGCACCGGCTTCACCTGCGCGTTACAAAAATAGTTCCGACTGGAAACAGAAACTGTAACTTCACTGTATGGAAGACAAATACTGCCAATATAAAAAAAAGATGTGTTAAAAACAAAAATACTTTTAAGATAATAAATTTGAATTATCAGAGTTTTACTTATTTATCTCATAATTTTTTTGTTTTTGTAAGTCATTTTGTTTGCTTTCTACATTATTGATATTGATTTGTGTCATAATTTAAATGTAATTTAGATTTTAAAATCAATATACGTGGTTTGATTTTTCATACATTTTTACTAACTACCCTATATTCTTGGATTATATTGATTCACCACTTTTTTTTTTCACAATTTAGTATTTCTAACATTATTATATCTAATAATAGTAATTAATCTACTCATTTTTATGTTTTTACAGCTTCACCTGCACGTTACAATTATAGTTCCACCTTTCCTGTATGGAAGCCAAATTCTGCCATTACCAAAATAATTTAATTTAATAAAATAAAAAGATGGTGGTAAGCAAAAAATGTCTACTTATGTTTCAAAATCTTTACTTGAGTGTATCATAGTTTCTTGTAGCAAATCAAAAGTTTGACTCACCCTAATATTGATTTTCTAACTAATAATTCTGACTGACCATCAGCACTTTTTGTTTTTCTTTGTTTTTCCCCACCAGAAATTGACTTTTTATTTATTATATATGACATTATTCAGCTGTTAATACTGATGCACCAATGTTAGAGCAGCTCTGTTTGCTAGCTATATGTTTATTGGTTATTAAACATTAGTTTTGCCTATTTGGGCCTCAAATAAATACTTAAATGACACAATCTGAGAAGTTTAGAAGTGATATGACCCTTTGAATCAGAATCAGAATCATAAATACTTTAATAATCCCAGGGGAACTCCAGATATACATACAAAATATATACATAAAACATATAATATATCAAGAACATATATATATAAATATATAAACAAGGTAAAATGTACAGTTTT